TATGTAACTGATGCTTCAATTTGAATTATCTCAGCACAAAACTAACCTCACACAGGTCTGTCTGCAAGCTTTATTTCTGACTTTATATTTCCACTCAAATCCTCAATCTCTCCCTCTTTCTTGATTTTGTTTCTGTTTTGATGGTGTTAGTTGAATTTAAGACTTTGCACCTGGAAATCATGTGTTCCTAAAATGCAAAGACTCCCTTTTAATTGTTGAATTTAAGAGATTTAGAATTCTATTCATCACGATCATTTTATGTTAGGGCTTATTAGACCTGTACTATGCCATCACCTCTGGACAATGCATCGGTTAACAATCCTCAATATTTCAAGCTTCCCTGAAGAAAAGGAGGATAACATATCAATGGAAGATTTTCTAGTAGATGGGAGAGCGATGTGCGTAAACCTGTTGTTATGCCATGGTGGAAGAGAAAAGAAACGAGGGACACATGCATGAATACAAATTGTCTAGAGATACACTAATTGAAGCGAGGTGTTTGTGTACATGCCTGCAACCCCAGCATGGTAGGCAGTGGTAGACAATCACAGTAAGTAGAGGCCAGCCTGGTCTACACAGTGAGTTCCACATGTCAGACCTAGTCCCATTCCCCAAAGGTAGAATACCTAGACTAGGATTGATTGTGTTGCATCGAGATAAATATATCAACAATCTTTACAAATCCCAGATCCCAGACCTAAAGCAATGTAGACATGTAATTTGGTAAGTTTAGATAATATTTATACTAAGACTCAAAAATATCAGTGCATACTTCAATGCTCACCGAAGAAATCCCTTTAGCCTGACCTTTATGCACTTACACTAACTGATGTACAACAGTTTGTCATGTGATGCTTGCTCTTTTTTGTTACTAAGCGGTATAAAATTGCTCCAGGAAATTGTCTTCGAGACAGGATCACAACTAGCCCAGGCTAGCCTGGAAATCACTATGGTAAAGATTCTGGCTTTGTACTACTTCTGATTCTCTTGCAAGTCCCTCTCATTTGTTGAGTACAGATGTCTGCCACCATGATCAACACTCCACATTTGTAACCAAATAATATATTTTTCATGTCAATGTATATATATTCATCTCTCTCAATATATATGCCTAGATCTTTTAATTGGCATGTGGTATTTAAGCACAATGGAAATGGTTAAAACATTCTTCTCATGAATATTTTATTTTACTAGTTATTTTCACTTTCCCAGTTATTCCACATAACACGGCAATAGCAATTCTCCTTCACAGCACCAATTATGGGACTGTTTCTCTGGGATTACTGTTGTAGACTGGGCAAACACAGTACAGATCATCTAGCTCACTGATTTTCACCTAAATAATACTTATTCTGGATTTTGAAATTGCCTCCTACAAGTCTTCCTCTCCACACAGAAAAAGCACACACTAAACAGTCTTTGCTGCTGCTCTGAGATTCAAACCTGCCTGGACACCCTGTATTTTTTTTCTGGCAACCAGAGCCAGGATGCGCATCTGCATGTGAACACCTCTGGTGAGTGCTTATTCCCTGAAAACATCAGTAAATGTCATGAACTCATTTCCAGTCTTCTATCACATTTGATGGCCAGTATGTTGGGTCACACCTGTCTCTGTTTCCACCTGAATGTTTCCCTGGGTTTAACCACTTAAAAAATAGTTGTCACTACTTCAATTCCTGCCTGACTGAGGACAGATTGGTGACATGTTTTTGTTTTGGTTGTTGTTGTTTCTGCCTCTTGAATTTCTAGAGCATGCGAACATGAGCTGTATGTGGCAATGGTGTGGGTTGGAGTGCCTTAAGTCTCAGCAACAGCATATAGAGTGATGCACAGAGCAGGACAGACCTGGGACTCCATCCCTTCCCTATGAGCATGGCTAGCAGCAGGCTGCTGGCAGTGTGGGTTGTTGTATGGTGGCTCTTCTGCAATTGCAAGTGCATTGGCCTTGGCTTTTTGCCTGTTCTTGGACTGCAGAACACAGTCTCATCTGGTTGTGGGCAGAGGTAAGTGGCAGACATCTCGCTGGGCTGATGGTTGATTTTATCAGGGGTGAAGTAACGAGAAGGCACAGTTTCTCAGTGGAGGTGCCTGGGCTCCAGTCCAGAACATAGGTGAAACCCGTCAAGTGTCCAACTACCTGTGCTTAGTGACCAAGGCAGAGAAGACTGTGTACTGCTGGCAGAATTTTAATGAGTGCAAAGTCAGAGGTTCCAGCATGTTCCCTTGGCTTGCTTTCTTCTTCTTTTCTTTCTTGTTTTTAACAGTTAAAAGCCACCCGAAGAGAAACGATGTGAATCATTGATACTGAAACACCTTTGAGTGGGATTTAAAATTCCTGTCCAAATAAAACTCCACAGGGTTTTGTTTAGTGGAAAATTTTTCTGGTGATGATTATCTTGCGGGTGAGGGTCCAATCTGGAGGCAGAGACAATACTGTTATGTGGAGTATAAGATTGCCTGAGCAGTCAAGAGAGTGAAAAAGCACCTTTAAGAGTTCAAAAGTTATGGCTACAAAAGAGTAGTTCCTACCTGTAGGATGAGAAAGGACAGAGGTCGCGGGAGTAAGAGAAGGCACTCCCTCCCTCCCTGGCTGCAATCAGACCTCTTGGAGACAGCATGGATGTGAAAAGATCTTTTTGTCCCGGGATGGAGAAACTTGCCAGAGAATAAGGGTCTGTGTGACTCTATAGAAGAGACCTCCATTACAGAGTTGGGGAGCGTGGTGGTCCATGGAGGGGTGGGTCCCCCAGGGGCAGTGTGGTGGTTTGATTAGGTATGGCCCCCATAGACTCGTGTGTTTGAATGTTTGGCCTATAGGAAATGGCACTATTAGGAGGTGTTGCCTTGTTGGAGCAGGAGTGGCCTTGTTGGAGGAAGTGTGTCACTGTGGGGGTGGGCTTTGAGGTCTCATATGCTGAAGCTACACCCAGTGATGTAGCCTCCTTCTGCTGCTGTAGATCAAGATGTAGAATTCTCAGCGCCTTCTCAGAGCACCATGTCCACCTGCATGCCCCACCATGTCCTGCCATGATGATAATGAACTAAACCTCTGAAACTGTAAGCCAGCCCCAATCAAATGTTTTCCTTAGAAGAGTTGCCTTGGTCATGGTGTCTTTCACGGCAATAGAAACCCTAAGACAGGCAACCATGGGAAGGCGAGCAAGCCCTGAGGGGCAGCTGGAGTTTATCTGTGCTGACCTCTGACCTCCCCACAGTGAACACCCTAACCTGGATGCTGGAATGGAAGGGAAGTACGTCCCTGCTGGGACTTGCCGGACCACTCCAGTGTTTGACACCTACAGCACCTAGCGCTTGCTTAGCTGGCACAGGAGAAAGGGTAACCGTTACCAGCTCCTCTGCCACCAGGCCGGACAAAGGAAAACTGATTTGGACCAGGACAAACAATAGATAGGAAATGAACTCTAGGGACATCAGGAACCCACAACCTACTGCATTTAGTTTAAATGCACTAGATTCCCTCTGGATAAAGACAACAGCAGAAATTTCATAGGAGGAACATTAGACAACAAAGTATCACAGTCCTAGTCAGAGTGACTAGAAAGAAGAAAGCCATAAAGGAACTGCAGCATGCAATGAACACCCACTGAGAGCGAATTCCAGTTAAGGGCAGTTGTTGTTCATATGGCTTTATAGCAGATCAGTTAAAGATAGGAGACAACCGGGCTTCTGACATGTCAAAAATAATTAGAACACACGGTGGGGAAATATCCAACTCAGAGCAACAGTAAAACAAAAGGGGGCATTGAAAAACATCAGAAAAATGCAATAGGTACTCAAGGCAACTTACAAAGAAAACTGAAGTACCCTGAATAGAAGCCAGAATCAATGGCAGGACGTACGTTTTTTGTGGTTGATAACCTGCACATTTTCCAGATGCTAACTGTCCTTGGTGCTGAGCTCTACATACCCGGCTATCCTGGTGCAAATCAAGCCATGGACGTCTTGATATTAGCAAATTTTGACCATGATATTCATATAGAGGACAAGATTTTTCAAAAGATTTGAAAACAGAATAATGAGGGGAAATTATTTTATTCAGACGATAAAACATGCTCAAGTCTCCATAACAGGAGGAGCAGCAATAAAATGCCAGCAGCGGGAGAAATTTGAAAAACAGAAGCGTCGGCATCATGTGGAAATTCAGGGACCATTTCATAGGGATACAGAGCCAGTCGTAGACATTAAGAAAAAGAGGCTGATAGCTTACTGTCTAGAAAGGGTAGGCTTTAAACGGAATTCTAACCTGTTGGACACGCTGCAACAAAAAGAGCCAACGGCTGGGGTGGAGAAATCTTCTGGTTCCTTGTGGGCTGCCTGGGAGCTGACCTCTGTGCTCAGGGTTTATTGAAGGTTCCTGAATGTCAGATGACAGGCCTGAGGAAAGAAAGTACTGTGTGGGGGAACAAAGAGGTCCAGTGAGGTGGGAGGCAGAGGACTAAGTAAACAAAGATGCCATGGGCTCTGGAAAGTTAGATTATACTACTTAATGTCTCTCTGGACTGTGTAGTGGAGAGGCCACATACCGAAAGGGCATGCGACCACCGCAGCCCTCCCAAGTGGAGCACGCCTAGAGGAAGCAGGAGGGCCTGTTGCTGGAGAAAGGCCTCCCTCCACTCAGGAGCAGAGCCATCTGTCTCCTAGGGAGCTGGCTCCTCGAGGAGCAGGGGGAGGGAGACACAGGTGATCCCAGAGGACCGATTCTTCCCAGTAACAGCCAATAGGGAGGAAGGCAGGCTTGCTTTGAGTGTGGTCCCGAGGCTTCTGGTCTCTTGAAAGGCTGGCCTCAGCGGCCCCCACCTCTGGGAGCAGCGCCCCCGCACCCTTCCGGCCCGGGGCTGCAGTACCGTCCCCGGCCGGCAGAGGCGCTGCGGGGCGGCGCCAGCGCGTTCCCACAGGTCGCGGCGGAGGCTGCGCCCCCTCCCCTGCCCGCTTCCTGGTCCTCGGGGTGTGAGGGCCCCAGCCTGGGACTCCAGACCCAGGGGCTGCGGGTGTCCTCGGCGGCCGCCGCAGCGTCCGCGGCGACGGCACGGTCCTCGCGGCCTCGCAGCCAGCGCTCGGGCCGGCCGCCGAATGCCCGTGGACGCGCATCTCCTCCCCGAGTTCCTGCTTCCCGGGCCAGCCAAAGCCGCAGGTGAGAACGTCCGCGGTAGAGGTGGCACCCAGGGCCTGCGGGTCTCAGAGGGCCCCTGGCCTCCTTCTCTCCTCCTTGCCCAGGAAACCCCGCGGGGGCGCCGGCAGCGGGGACGCTAAGTGCTGCCCGGAGCCCCAAGAGCATTTCTTCTGAGGCACGTAGCCCCCCTCCCCCGCCCAGGTGCTTCTGCGAGCTCCTTTGTGGACCCCCCAAGCCCCTAGGGGATCCCCCGCCGAGCACCCCGCGGGCCCCACCACCCCTGGCGCGCATGCCCAGAGCCCTGGGAGCTAGAAAGTAGCTGAGCTGCTGGCGCAGTACCTGCTGGCTAAGAATGCGAAGACTGTGTGGATCAAAAGGGCAGACATGCTGAAGTGTTTCATCCTAAAGGTGCAGGAGCTTCTTCCCCGAGATTTTCAAGAGAACCTCTGACCTCCCCGAGTTAGTCTTTGGGTCTAGGTAAAGGAACTTGGCCCTCCAGAGCACGCCTATGTCCCTAACAGGAAAAAAAAAATCAGCCTGCCCTGCCTTGGGGGCCTGACAGGCGACCAGACCAGGGCAAGCACGCCAAAGACTGGGCTTTCTGCTGAGTATCCCGGACTTGATCTTCGTGCAGGCCAGCTGTGTCCCAGAGGAGGTGTTCGGGGAGGTGTGGAGGGTGCTGGAGGTATGCTCGCCTAAAAAGCATCCCGTCCTTGGGGAGCCGTCACCAAAGGGAATGGCCAGAGCTTGTGTGCAGCACAAGTTTGTGGTGCACGAGGAGGTGCCCTCCAGCAGTCCAGTACTGTCTCTCAGTATTCTTGTGGGGCCCTCCAAGGAAACAAGACAGATGGAAGGCCAGGAGTTTGTGGCCCAAGTGAATGACACCCGGCCCAGAGCCTTGGCTGTGGCAGTAAATGAGGCCTTGAAAGAAGAGGAGGAAGTGCCCAGTGCTCACAGTGCGGTGGCCGAGAAGCAGCTGCTGGTGATGATGTGACAGGTGCGAGAGTTAGTGCGAGTTCCAGTTCCAGGGCCCCTGCCGTGGCTGAAGCAAGCAAGCATCAGCACCAGTGCCAGGGCAAGTGCCAGGGCCAGGGCTAGAGCCATGCCGGAGTGATGGACAGTGCAGGGGCCAGTCACCATCTCAGGTCGGAGTCTGGGCTTCTGCCGCCACCAGGGATGGCTGAGGCTTCCTTGCTTTTGTTGTGAGTAGTCAAAGGGGTGCTGGAGCAGTAGGCCCTGTGGCTCTGATTAGGAAGTGCAGGGCTAGAGCAGGGTGAGGAAGGACACATAGCATTCTGCTCCAGGGCTGTGCTTCCTGGTGACTTAGTGCCTAGTCTGCACATGGCAAGGTTGTGCTTTCTCTGTAGCTACCCTCTTTCTCATTGAGAAACAGTTGCGAAGCCTCAAGGCATGAGAACTAAGTGATGAAGGCTGAGGATGTGGCTGAGTGGTAGAAGACTTTCCTCAAATGGGCAAGGCTGTGGGTTTCATCCCCGCAGCCATAAGATAAGTCAAAAGTGCCTCGATATGTACATGTCAGATCAGAGTGGAAGCAAAGGCATAGTAAAACATTTCCCAAAGCCTTGCTTTTCTAGACGTATGATTAAGTATGAGCATCCATGGTTATGCTTGGCATACATCCAGGGTTTCTTTGTTCCTTATTTACGGGAGATTTCTTTGTTTATACAAAACAATTGTGACACTGTCATTTTATGTCTGAAACATCCTGGGGTCGAGTCAGTAGCTCCTTGAGATGCTGACGGAAGTCGTAACGCTGTGATTCCCCCTCCAGATATTCAGAGGTAAAACACAAATGTGGCCAACACCTGGCACAGCAGAACCAGCTAATGTTTACTTGTATTCACCTAGAGCTGGAATGTAGGGGAAAATAAAATTGAACTAGACACCTTGCTCATGGACTCATTTATTTAACCCGTGTCCTAGTGACCATTATGTGAGGCACTGTGTTGGGCACTGGAAGAGCAAGGCAGCAGACTCAGGCTCTGCCCCACATCTGAGAGTCTAGTTGGGGCTCTCAGTGTAAATAATTGAGGTAGATGCGGCAGGCAGGCTTGACCGGGGTGGTCAGGGAGCCCAGAGGACAGGCATCTGGGAGGCAGCAGGCTTCATTGGCATTAGGTAACGGCCCCCAAGAGAGGCAGCACTAGAGATGTAAAAACTGCCAGTGACCCCCTGTCGGGATGTTGTGGACAACTGGTGGACTCACTGCTTCCGTGGAACTGGAAGGCTAGAATTAGAGGATACTGGAGGGATGGTGAGAGGGCAAGAACACGTGTGCAGGAGACACACTCTCGAGTTGTGGCCGAGAGAGGAGATAAATGAGGATCAACTGGGACTAGACACTCTTGACTTGGGGTTTGCCAGAGGGAAGGCCCACCAGCAGCAGCTGTGGTCCGTGCTCTGGACTCTGGCTCACGTGCAGCTCATTCCCTGTACACTCTGGGTCCTTGACCCGTCCTTTCCAATGAGTGGCAGGAAAGGAGCTGTAGTAGTGGGAGCGGAGGGGCTGCTTCCCGCCACCCGGCTAGCTTTACCCGAAATAATTACACAGAAACTGTATTCTTTTAAACACTGCTTGGCCCATTAGTTTTAACGTCTTATTGGCTAGCTCTTACATATTGATCTAACCCATTTCTAATATTCTGTGTAGCCCACGAGGTGGCTTACCAGGAAAGATCTTAACCTGAGTCTATCTGGAGTGGGAGAATCATGGCGACTGCTTGACTTGGCTTCTTTCTCCCAGCATTCTATTCTGTCTACTCCGCCTACCTAATTTCTGTCCTATCAGGGCCAAGGCAGTTTCTTTATTAATTAACCAATGAAAGCAACACATAGAAAGTAACACCTACATCAAGGAGCAAGTGCTTCTTCACCAGAACAGAGAGTGTCCCCTGAGGCAAGGGCACAAAGCAGAGGTTGTCTCCTGAGGCCAGGGAGAGCCAGTGTGTTATGAGGGCAGTGGTAGGATTACAGTGAGGTTCCATAAGTTGGAAAAGAAAAAGGCTTGTGTGGGGGCAGCTGTAAAGCTTTCTGTTGGTGTTGTGGACCACTGTTGACAGAAATGAGAGAGAACTATGTCTTAGCAGAGCCAGCATAAGCCTTGGTGGCCAGACCGCAGCACCAATCCAATCTGGTTGGGCTACAGAGGTTTTCATGAATAGAGAGGGATCTGATGAAAGTGTAGCTCTACCCAAATGTTGGGGGAGGCCACTTGTTTCATTCCTGCCTGCTGAGTCCTGAAATAATCACATAGAAACTGTATTAATTAAATCACTGCTTGGCCAATTACTTAAGCATATTGCTAGCTAGCTCTTAGAATTAACCCATCTCTATTATTTTATATTTTACCACGATGCTTGTAACCTACTGGCAAGGTTCCAGTGTATCTGTCTCTGGCAGCTCCATGACTTCTCTCTGACTCTGCCTCCTTTCTCCTAGCATTCAGTTTAGTTTTCCCTGCCTATCTAAGTTCTGTCCTATCAACAGGTCAAGACAGTTTCTTTATTCACCAATGGTATTCACAGTATACAGAGGGGAATCCCACATCCCCTCCCCCTTTTTGTTTAAGTAAAAGGAAGGTTTTAATTTTTTTATTTTAATGAAAAAATTTCTGCCTCCTCCCCGCCTCCCATTTTCCTCCCCCTCCCTCCACTCCTCCCCCCTCCGCCCACTCCTCCCCCCCTCCCCCCCATTCCTTTCCCCCTACCTCTCCAGTCCAAAGAGCAGTTAGGGTTCCCTGCCCTGTGGGAAGTCTAGGTCCTCCCCCCTCCGTCCATATCTAGGAAGGTGAACATCCAAACTGGCTAGGCTCCCACAAAGCCAGCACATTACGTAGGTTCAAAACCCCGTGCCATTGTCCTTGACTTCTCATCAGCCCTCATTGTTTGCCATGCTCAGAGAGTCCGGTTTTATCCCATGCTTTTTCAGTCCCAGTCCAGCTGGTCTTGGTGAGCTCCCAATAGATCAGTCCCACTGTCTCAGTGGGTGGGTGCACCCCTCTTGGTCCTGACTTCCTTGCTCATGTTCTCCCTCCTTCTGCTCCTCATTTGGACCTTGGAAGGTTTTAATTTTAACATATTAAAATTACATATAACAAAACAGGTATCAAGCACGAATTACAGTTATAATATTTATATCTACTTTATCTTTTTTCATAACTAAGGAAAACTATATTATTACTATCTACTCTTCAACTCCATCACAGACTTCAGGAAGGATGTAATATTACCTAAGTAAACAGGGAATACATTGTAAAAGACTTCCAGAACTCTAGAATTGACAGAAATCTCACTGCCTGGACAGTCACCCAAAGTTCTTCTGTACTGTTGGGGCATCCATCTTCAGCCTACAAGTCCATAGTATCCTGCAGACTTTTCCATTCAGCAAGAAATTTCAAAGATACTTCTGCGTATATTAGCAGTTTTTCAGTTACTTTCTTCTGTATTTCTGCAGAATGTTTGGCAGACTCTTTCATGACGCAGGAACCCTGAAGGATCATCTCACCTATGGGCAAGTTCAGCAGATATATCTTTGCGGCACCTACATGTCCAGTTCATCAAGCAGTCCAGGCAAGAGCAGTTTCTTTCCCAAATGTCTAGCCAACTCCAAAAGGAGCCTCTTTGATACCCATCATCCTCTTGAAATATATTAATGCTACCAGGAGCATATGTGTCTCATTGTCATGAAAAGTCCTAAGCTCTTAAAACATTTTAAATGCCATATTCTGTAGTCTTTTAAATGTTTGAAGAATGCTTATCTATCTGAAATATATCTCTATATATCTAGAAAACCTAACTAATATGACTACAAGTTTGACTATTATAGATGATTCTCTATTATATTTCTTAATTATATATTAAATTTTTAAATGAGCTGGACAAACACAATATCTTAATCAAGAACAAAAATGCATATACACAGAATAACAAAATTATCCTTAAATTTTTATCAATAAACCAAGATCCATACCAAATGCAAATCTCTATAACATATCTCCCTTT